TCAAATTGTTTCAAAACACCCAGAGGATCTCACAAAATAATTTGAGTCATCAAACATAAAAATTGATATAGATTTACGCTCAAAAAAGCTTTAGGTATATCTGTGTTTTTTTCATTATAATCTACATAACTCTAACTTATTTTATTTGTATTTATTGTATATATTTTTTATTATTAATACGTTGTTATTTGCTGTTATTTTGACTTATCTGTATGTATAGTGTGAATGTAGCTTTTATTATTACTTTACTATTATTTATTTTATTATTTACACATATCCCTGGCTCACCATGAATTTACCATCTACCTCGGTGTTCATCAGATATGATATCAAAGGGAATAAATTATAGTATGAAAAAAATAAAAAAGAAAAACCAGTAGTAAAATAACACATACATAATAACACACACAAAAAAGATCATACAGCAAGTATCTCAATGCAATAAGTCTCTTGGCCTGCGCCTCAGCAATCTTCTGGGCGGATTATATGGATTTGTGGCAGTCGATAGAGCTTGAGTAAGTGGATTTGAATTTAGAGTCAATCTGTCATGAAAATTATTAAAGCGGTCAGTGGCAGTTGCCATGATGAAAGGGGTGTTAAGGTCAGTGTGTAACGTAAGGTTTGAAACATAAAAGCGTGCGTCTTCAATTTTCCGAAGGACTTTTGACTGGATGATATTTATATTTGATTTCTTTGCTGTTCCCCATAGTTCGATTCTATATATCCAAAGTGGTTTAATGAGAACTTTGTAAATTGTTAATTTATTAGTCACAGATAATTTATTATAATATAATTCTGTCAAGAAGCCTAGAAAGAAGTCCGTTGTTATGCTTACTTTACTATAACCATTGCCTATGTCACAGAATGTTATATTTTACTCAATAATTAAAAATCTTATTTTCGATGGTCTATTTGTCACCATGTAATGCATATAATTGCATAATGTGGTTGAAACTATTTTTTAAAAGATTTTACAAATCTATATTTTATGAACTGAATTTTAATAATCTATTATCTCCTAATCTATTTTCTTAACCGACCTCCCCTTCTTACATCCCTCATCACCAATTGTTTCTTTTTTTCACCAATACTTCCAGCGATTTAATATTTTATAAATTTCATAATGCATGAATCCTATTCTATAATACATAACGTTCCAGTTTTTTCACTCTTCAACCGTTTGAAATAGCCTTTCTTTCACCCACTTCTTTTACACTTCTGTTATAATTAGGATACTGTTTGTTTGTTTGTTGGAGTTTTGAGGAGTCATTAGTCATCAGACATCAGTCATCAGTCATCAAAGTCATTATCTCCAGCTAATCAATTTTGTTTATCTGGATTAAATTTTTAAGAGATTTTAATTTTTTTTTTTTTTTTAAACAAATCGTTTGATTTCAAGAAAACTAACACTAGCTTTATTGTGTCTTCATCATACCTCAAAATGTCTATTATTGGAGGTGTAAGGCCTGAACTAGTTAAACCCTACATAAAAAGGACATTCCTGCAAAATGTGGCTGACTGTATATCTATTATTACAGTGTTGGTAATATGGCCATTGTTGTAATGGCTGTTTGCTTATAGATTGGTGTGGCTTATTCTCAGTCTGGTTAAGACAACCTCTTCTGTACGAACATAAGTTGATAATTTGATGTTGAATATGGCTTTATGATGTTTTTTTAATATATTTTCATTTGCTTGACGGAATCTCATTCCACATAGATTGCCAGCTATAAATTATTTCTTTTTTTTTTGAGAGGAAGTCTAATATAATGCGGCTTTAGAATGAAAGCCCTGGAAGATTAACTGCATGTTTTGCTGGCATAACCGCGAACTCATTACCTTAGGATACATTATTCAATCACCAAAATATTTTATGTTGGTATTAACACTTATGTTAGTGAAAGCACACTTCTAGCCTATTTATTAGCGATTGTTTGAATAATCCAGTCTCAAAATTCAATGTTTTTGCAAATCTAGATTCAATAGAGACACTTTCTATTGCCTTTAAACTATAAACAACATTCAAATTTCAAATTAAGCTGCATTATCAGAGCAGTATACAATTTTATGATATTTATTTCAATTGAAATGATTTTTTTTTTTCTCATTACAAACCATGTAGATTTTTTTGCCTCCTTAACAAGCAACTTCTTTTTGGTGTATTCTATATGTTTTTTTTTCTGAGTAGGGTTATGCCTAGTGGCCAACCCCAAACGCGGGAATCGGACTCGCGCCTTAGTGGTCGAAGTTATCGGGTAGCGCTTGCAATTTTTATTTTTAAAATTTTTATAAATGAGATACGTATTATGGCGGAGTCCATTCTTTTGGAATCATTGGCGATCCTTCACCGTCACTTCTATTAAATTAGGTCATATCTTTGTGAATCCTGACAACAGAATGAGGATGAGAAAAGAAGGGAAACCAACCGATGATATTTTTATATACGAAGTGTATCAAGCTGAATAGTCAGATATTGCCAATCAGATGGATTAGTATGTTGTGTCAGTTAGCAACTCAATACAGTTGAGCAGAATTAAAATACATTTTCTATTACAGTTTTGTCTTTTTTATTCCCGCGAACGGGATTTGAACTCATGACTTTTCTGTTCCGATAAAATTCGAAACAAAGAAACCTGTACACGTTGAGAGTGTATTTTTGCAGGCGCCTTAACTCTCTCGACCAACGCGGTCCCATCTTAATTAGAAGCTCTCTAATCCTATTTTATTTTCATATATATTTGTTTGCATATACTCGATTTTTAATCAACTCTTATCAACAGGCCACAGGGGTTTTTGCTACTATTTTCACTATTTTCAGGAAACTGGAATCATATCAATTGTATAAATACAAATATATAAATGTGATAAAAATAAACTTCATTTATTATGTTTAAAAAATATATTTTCAAACTAGATTAGATTAATATCACAGCGCCATTTTTTTTTTTTTTTGGAAATGTTTTGTTGTTCGAAAGTAATGTTTTCTCTTCAGTGACCCTACAATATTGTTTGAAAATATATAAATACATTGGAAGATTTGTGTTAGTATTTATAAGTAATATTAGAGAGCAAAAACATAAAAAAAAAAATGTCAGTTTTAATTAAACCTGAGTAGTATTATGGGTATTTCAAATGAAATATGTTAAAATATAAAGTGAAATGCATTGTTTGCATTTTAAGAATTATAATATAAAATGCATTGTAGGTAATTATTTATTTATGTATTTCTTTCAAAGTTACTAAAATGTATTTATTTATTTTGTATTTTAAGTATAGAAAATAAATTACCGAAATTAATAGGTACTTTAAGTTCTGTAGTAAAGCTAGTCGTTTGCACTACAACGCTCTCCTGTGAAAATCGAGCTTAGAATTTTTTTCCAAGTCGATCGTAATACAAATATTTTTGTCCATAAAACTGATTAGCTATTAAAAAAAAACAATAAGTACTCCAGGGCCTTTCTTTTTGAATAAACGTGTAAATATGGATGGGCTTTGGGAAATAAAAAATATGTTACTGAATAGTTTCATTGTTTTTTTTTTCCGAACATGCAACTTATTTTTATTCTTGAAGAAATTACTAATAAATAATGTGAACGAGAAAAACAACGCAGTTTTGTTTTTTATTCCATTAATTGATAATTTATTTTATACTGAATTTTAACAAGATATTTTTTTATTCTAAAAGAAACATTTATTATTTTTGTTTAATGGGCACAAAACTGAATGTATGAAGAATAAATGGTTCCATTTACAAAAAAATTAAGGAAGTCTAAATAACGGGGGAGAGTAAAGAGAGAATGAAATTGAGAAGAAAATGTAATTTTTCCCTTGAGTTATTTCTTATTTCTCTGTCTGCTCTCTAAATTTTCTTCTGTTATTAAATTGGATTAAATAACTTAGTTTAATTTACTTTCTTCTTGACTTTTAAAAAAGTTTTTGATTTTTTTTATTGTGTTCAATCAGTAATTCTTATTTAGAAATATTTTTATTTAATATATACTCGTTCATATATATATTTATATATATGGTTGTGTGTGTGTGTGTACTGATAGTAATAGGTATACTTAATTCTTGTGTCAAAGTGGAGTTAGGATATTTTAACATTGTACTTAATTGTCAAAAGTATAATCCAAGTTGCACAAACATGAAGTTCACGGCCTTTCAATGAGTTTCAAAAGAGTACAATACATGTTCAATTTTGGTTTTGGTCAGGGCCACTTATTCATATGTGTGGTCTCATTTCAAAGACGATCCCCTTTCACATTTAAAAAGTTGAGATAAAGACATTTTTTTGTAACATAGCTTCAACTTAAACCAATTGTGATGATAATTTTTGTGATTTATCTTAAAAATTCTTAAATAAAATCATCAGAAACGATTTGAATTGAACCGATAAAATAAAAATTGCCCCACTTTCTGAAACTGACAGACGTCAGTCTTTGATATGAAGGCACTCATATGTAGACTTTCTGGTAGAGATTTTCCATATTAGGAAATCTTGATTCCAATTACATCATATTTTTTTTTAATCTTATTTTATTGAGAAATAATACATTTTGCCTCAATTAAGGGCATTGGGTATAAGTGCTCTGTGAGACTCATTCATACCATATATATACATATGTGCAATTATAAAAACAATAGTAAAATTATAACAAAAGAAAAGAAAAAGAAATCTTAATAAAAGGAAAAAAATAAACTAAAGAGACATTATATATATATATATATATATATATATATATATATATATATATATATATAATATATATATATATATATATATATATATATATATAAAAGTATTTCTAAATAAGAATTACTGATTGAACACAATAAAAAAAAAATCAAAAACTTTTTTAAAAGTCAAGAAGAAAGTAAATTAAACTAAGTTATTTAATATATATATATATATATATATATATATATATATATTCTGTTGGCATTACTAACTAATTAATAAATTCAGTTAATAGATGTAATTTGTAATAGATGTAATTTTATCATACTAGTCTCAGACTAGAGAGTGTCATACATAGTTTCCTCTTCGCTTTTAGGTAAAGACATAGATGTATGACATGCCAGCCATTTGGCAGTCCCAAGGCAATGACGTCATTTCTCCCTAAAAAAAAATTAAATCTATTTCTCAAGCTGCTTTATATTTTAGTTAATAATTGAATTTTATTTCATTGACTATTTCTGTAATTGTTTTGTTAATAGCCTAAAATTTATTTATTTATTTATTGTTACAAATAATCCTCAGGTGGGACAAGTCTGCTTTGGAGTTCTCCTGACCTATTGTAAATAGTGTATATTGGTATGCCTGCCTCTGAGATGTTTATTTTTTAAGAACATTTTATTTATTTATTTTTATTTTATGATTATTATTATTATTTTATTCTCTCATTATTAAATTTTACTTTGTTCTTATTTCGCAAGATATTATTTTGTTATTACTTTATTCATTTATGATTCTGTAAATAGGGTGCGAATGTGCTCTCTGAACTCTATAATAAGTGTCCTTAATTGAGACAGGTTATATTATTTAGCAATATAAAAGTAATCTAAATAAAAAAAAAAATGATCCTCAAAATATGTTAGCAAATCCTATTCTAGTATTAAAATTAATTATTTTAAAACGTTTATTTTAATTTTATAATTATTATTATTATTTTCTTCCCCCATTATGATATTTTACTTTGTTCTTATTTCGCAGGATATTATTTTTTACCAAACGCTTATTATAGAGTTAGGAGAGCATATTCGCATCCTATTTACAGAATCATAAATGAATAAAGTAATAACAAAATAATATCCTGCGAAATAAGAACAATGTAAAACATCATAATGAGGTAAGAAAATAATAATAATAAAAATAACATAAAAATAAATAAATAAAATAGAATAAAATGTTCTTAAAAAATAAAATAAAACATCTCAGAGACAGGCATACCAATATACACTATTTACAATAGGCCAGAGGAACTCCAAACCAGACTTCTCCCACCTGGGGATCATTTGTAACAATAAATACATTTTAGGCTATTAACAAAACAACTACATTATAGAAATAGTCAATGAAATGAAATTAAATTCAATTATTAACTAAAATATAAAGCAGCTTGAGAAATAGAGAATTGAGAAAATTTTTTTTATTAGGGAGGAATGACGTCATTAGTATATATTTTTAGTACATATTTTTTTAACCAAAAATTTTCCATCATAAAAAACAAAGAAATAAATATCAACGCAATTTATTTACTCCATTTCCTAAACTTTTACTTCCAATCTATTGAACATTGGCAATAACATAACACAAACAAATTAACATAAATTTGCTATACTCAAATCTTAGATAATCATGCATGGAACTTATGTCTAATATAATTATCAGAAAATATCATTTTTTTTGTCTTCAATTTTTATATAAATATACATATTTTTATATAAATTTTCAATTTTTATATAAATATAAATATGGTGAATAATATGTTAATAACTATAAAAATCTCGCTTCCGAAATAAAAGAAATAAATTTGACCACATCGTTCCACTCAACCAACTAATTGCTCCGTCGAGGGCTTCAGGGTCTGAAGAAGATGGATGATGTCCTGCTTGGTAACAGGAGTGACATTTCTCGGCTTACCGCTCCTGATTGGGGGCTCTTCCACCGTTTAACAAAATACTAAGCTTAATATGTTATTATAGTTTGATTCCTCAATATCAATAAAATGAATGCTTTTGTATAAATATTATTAATTTATTTCATTATTGCATTTTACACAAATATAAAAATCTCTCTTTGGCTATATTAGTCCATTCAATAAATGATTTTCGAGAGAAAGTGATTTTTGACATTGGGGCTTTGTTTAGCTTATTTAGGAGATACACATACAATAAGTTTAAACTCAGCCAAAATGGTGAGGAGACAATGGTGAGACACATAGATCACTTTTTTTTTGGTTCGGCGTTTATATCAGGATAACCATGCGTCTTAGCGGTGAAAATTAAAGCTCCTAATCCTTAAAAAAATTAATGTTCTAATCAAAATTAAAGCTGATAAAAGAGCGAATTTAATATGTGCACACAAAATTTATTAATTAAGGTTTTGTACATTATAATTGAGCCAAGGATTTAACAGTAGTGATTAATTTGATAATTCAAATTATTTAACTAGAAAATTTTCAAAAGTCACTGAACAAAAATGCGGTTTTTGCACCACTTGATGTAGAGAACTTATTTCATATTTATTATCATATATAGTTATTACATTTCTATAGAAGTGAGAAATAGAGTTGCTTTAGAAGTAGATCTACTTGGCTATGAGGTTCAAGAATAGTATTAAATTCACCAAATAGTTTTCACTTTTTCACTTCTGTAGCGAACTACAGATGCACCTGTATATATGGTATATAAAACTAATGTTGCCCAAAATCGGTCATGGTCTTGCAAAGCGCGAGACCAAGACCATGCCCACATAACTGCTGCGAAACCAAGACCAAAACTGGTAAAAAAAAATCTTTTTTTAAAGTAAAACTTAAGGCAAAATAGTTACTAATACTTGACAATCATAGTTACTATCTGTAAATAATTGGTATACCCAATATACTTTTTCATTTAACTCTTATAATTTTTCATTGGAGCTTAGTTTCCTCTATATAAAAAATTACAGTAATATCTCGATAGCAATAAGCTAATAAATTACTGCAAGACCGTTGTGAGACTCTTGCGCATGATCAAGACAATCACCAAGGCTGAGTTTCCAAGAGACTAAGACTCGTCTCGGTCTCGCATTTGGGCAACACTATATAAAACATACCACGGGCGAATATACGAGGGGGAGAGGGAGAGCTTTCGGGCTGAAGCTCCCCCCCCAAAAAAAAAAATGGTAAAATATAACCATGTTTTATCGAAAAAAATATTTATAAAGTTAAAGTATTATTTATTGAAAAATCTTTTTGACTGAACTCCCCAACTATTCTTCTCTTCATTATCCATGGCAGTCAACCAATTACCAATTTTAAAGTATTATTATTCGTATAATTACATTTAAAAGGGCTTTAAGAATCACTTAAACACCATTTCATACAGGTAGTTAGTTTCTTTTTTTTCCAAAGTAATTATCGCCATTTTTATGAAAAAAAAAAAAAACTTTCGGGCTGAAGCCCGCCCAAAAATAAATTCTAGATCCGCTAGTGAAACATGCTACTGATGTAAGCATTATTTATAAATTTAGCAGATACTATTCATGTATATATATATATATATATATATATATATATATATATATATATATATATATATATATATATATAAGATAAAGACCGGAGACCGGCGATATCAGCCTTAATACCGTCCTGAATGTAAATAAACATATGAAATGTATATAAGGAGGATTACTAAAGGAATAAATCAGTATCTTTTCTGAAACCGTGAGTGTTGCATTTCAAGCCCTTTCCTTTCTTTTTTTTTATTGTTAGAGTCCGCCGACGCTTAACTGGTGCCGAAACCCGGGACTACGACAGGAGAACAGAGAAGTAATTTTTTTTTAAAGTCATTTTTTTTCTCTTGGTTTTTTTTTCTTCTCCTAGTCATAAGGAAAGAGTGAAATGCCAACAGAGGGCTTAATCAGGCCGGGAGTGTTGAGCGCCCCGGAAATCCCTCAACCTCAAGAAATTCCGCAGATACCTCAGATCGCGCAGGCCCCTCAGGTTCCTCAGATACCTCAAATACCTCAGGTACCGCAGATTCCGCAGATCCAGGAGATCCCTCCCTTACCGAGGGACACATTGGCAGAAGCGCACGCTAACGCGCTGGAATGGATGAAAATAAGAGCGGCGACCACGCAGGACCTACGAAGAGCCATTGCGGACCTGGAACGCTTCGGTGGCGAGGTAGGTGAGCTCAACCATTTCCTGAAAGGCGGAGACCGCCTCATGTCTAGAATAGAGGTAAAGGTGGCGGAGGACCTGGTAAACCTAGGGGACGCGGAAGCGTTGAAAGCGGCTCTGGTGTGCCGAGTAAGGAGGAGCATCCTGAACCAAATTCAGGCGGACGAGGAGACACCTTGGCCGGTGATTAAGGAGCGACTGAAGAAGGCCTTCGGAGGAGGCAGATGGACGCCGGAGGAAGACATCTTCCAAATGTTTAGGGAGCGCCGGTCCCAACGTCAGACGAGGGGCCAGTATGCGGGGGTACTAGTGGCAAAGTACAACCGCATAACGGAGAAAATGCGCGAAACAATGAGTGTGGGAGAGGTGGAAGCCAGGATGGAGTTCCTCTCGACGATACTCAAGGTCCAGTTGGCGAAGGAAACGGGAAGGAGAGACGGATTGCCCAGGGAGAGATCATTCCTCGAGTGTGCCCAGGAAATGATCGACCTAAGCGCAAGGGAAGAAGAGACTCGGATGGACGTGGAAGAACCAGGGTGGATCCGGGTGAATGACAGACGACCCCGGACAGCCCCGATGGGTTGGAAGAGGAGAGAAACGGTACAGCCGAGCGGAGAAAAGGTCAGGATGGGTGAAAAAAGATCCGGACAGGCGAGGCCGAGGAATGGACCCCGCAGGGAAGACAGGAAATGTCATGGGTGCGGAAAGCCAGGACATTTAGTTGCTCAATGTCCGCGCACTAGATGTTTCGAGTGCGGTACCGAAGGGCATATTGCTAGGCAGTGCCCGTACATATTCCGGAGGAGAGAAAGAACTCAAGACGAGCCCATGGAAGTAAACACGCAGAAGCTGACAAGACGGGCTAGGATGCAGCGGAAGGACGGATCTTCGGGAGAGGCAACCGAGGAGTCGGGAACTTCGGGGACAGAGACGGACGAACCAGGTAGCAGTGGAGGCGAAGGAGGCAGGAGCAGCCAACGAACCGAGCAGCGACGAACGGCGGCGGGGAGGAGGAAGCTGGGCGGCATCTGAGGAGTGTGGCAGCAGAGAGGCGACCGCACAGCAACATGCAACAACATCCGAGGTAAGCCATGCTGGTTGCCAATTATCGAGGTAGACGGGGGAGTAAAGTGCCTCGTGGATACCGGGAGCTCGAGCACTATTATGACCAGAGGGGCGTTAGGGAAAGTGTGCGGGAGTGAGAGGGCACTCCGGATCCAAAAATGCGATT